GCATCACGCTTAGACCTGTGTTATATCGATGGCTACATAGCTATCGTATGGGACACTTCAACAATGGCTTTGGAAATACGTTGTCGACATCACTAACGACCAGAACTGCCTTAGTGTCCGAGTAGTCGCGTTCGCATGCATATTTCTGTGTTTGATTTAGCGCCATTACACCCAATCAAGGGTCTTGAGGCGTGATCAGATATCCATCTCTATCAAGCAAGTTCTAGCGATACAAGCGCTGGACGGTGGTATATCTAGCATAAACGCTATCGTTATACCAACAACGTCCCCCACTCGCTCACCCATCCCTCGAACATGACCATAGTCTCGAATGATCCCATTTGGTGGCCGCAAATCGACTTACTTATTTTTTACAGCTATTGGAACGGTTCGTCGCATCAAAATGTCTAGGTCTAACATTGAATTGTGGTCTTGCAGTTGCCGCCGGCGTTGTGATGGTATACGATTGGGGTGAGCAGAACAATGTTCGAAAACTGCTGATATTCTCATGAAATTTCCAGTGCTAACAATCGGACAAGAGGTAGGTTGATGTTATCGCTGCTGCAGCTAACTCGCTAAGAATGATGTCATAGATTGAACTGATTTGGGTGAGTGACATAGTCTTATATCAGCAGAAAGACCAGGCGAATACAATGGATTCGCCACAGAGGCAACGTTGGTCTCTGATGTCTGTGCTGTATTTGGTTGTTCGTACCTCATGTTGTGCTATATTGTGGTTTACAATTGTGCTGACTTCAAGATGTTCTAGATACGCTGTATTGGACTACCGTATTCTGTGTACGTGTTACGGCCAACGAATTGGTACCGTGCTAATAGTTCATCTCTGACATTTAGTGCCATGATTCTCCGTATGTGTCATATGCGCTATGTTTGATTCTTTTAACTGTGGCACAGAAAATACGCCAATAGTCTCGTTAACAGATGCAGTGAGTATTCCACAAATATATCGTTCTTATCCGATGACTACACTCATTTGTAGGGGTGAGTGATATCCTGAACATGGGATGTGGTTTAACATAATGACTCAAAAGGTGTAAGTTAGAGCGTTTGATACTAGTACGAGGGTGATCTGAATTGGGTGTTTCAGGCAATATTACGGTCTATGTGCTAACTGGGGCAAATGTGGTTGTAGTTGCCATGTTGTGTGGTGAGTTACCCAGCTTCACTAGCCGAGTTGTGATATTGACTCGACTGCAACACGATGCAAGTTATCATTATCGCTCGCTTATATGCCATGTATCACGGATCTAGAATGATGCTCATCTTCCTTGTTGTTATCGCCCTGGCTGTTAACATCGCCTGTGGAGTAATCTCGGGAATAACACTCAACTTGAAGTATATTGTAGCGGGTAAGCTTCACTTGTTGATTTCAAGAACACAGCTCATAGGACAAACGCCAGGGGAGTGGGTACTCTCTGGCACACATATGTGCGGTATTTACTTTGAGGGGAATGCCCCACTTCTCTTTTCAATGCTTGGGACGATTATCACTGTTTGGGAGACGCTCGCACTGTGTCTTGGAGTCTGGATTGCTGTGAAGCACTTTCGTGAAGTGCGATGGCTCGGCCCATCGACAGGATCAACTATCGGGGACTGTTTTAGAGTGCTGATAAAATTCCACGTGCTTCATTTTGCAAGGTGAGCCTGTGATGTGAACGTGGTTATATTTTTTTACTCAAGTCCCACACATGTTAGCTTTGTTGGTCTTTCTTGCCTCCAGTTTTTTAAAGTCTCTCCAGAATTCGTGGTGAGCCAACCTGTCGCTTACATCTGCGTGTAACCACTGCTCATTGTTCTGTAGAATCCAGATTTTATTGGATCTCGGATACTCAATGGTGCTCTTCAAATTTTATCGTTAGTGCAGATGTTTGTGCTGGGACCACGCCTCATTCTCAGCGTTCGGGAATATCACGCCAAACTCGTGGCAGACTCCGATGCAGATCATAGCTTAAATTCGATTGTCTTTCAGGAGCATGTGCATATATCAACTAGCAGTACTGTATAGGGACATATTTACCGAGTGGTCTGCATGGAGAAGAAATTTGGTCGAGGATCCGTCGTGGTATCTACTTATTTAACATATGGTGTTTCGAGGTATATTTAAGTTGAGGATTATGTAGACAAACGCATTTCTTGTTGCATCGTTACTGGAACTCAGTCAACTGCCAGCCCACACTTGCACCAAGTGGCAAGCCGAAATTATTTGGAACGTATAGCAACTAATTCAGTCCTTGATACCCAATACCGAAATACGATAATCAGCATAGATTTACCAGACAACTGACTCTACGTGTTTGTAGAATTTCGCTATCTGAGCACACAGATGAAGGACCGATGAAGGATGATGCACGAAGTCCAGATAGTTGATAGCCCATTAGTATGAGGCTGAGATTCGTTTTGATCCATCAGAGTCATGGAGAAAGAAAACGAATGAATCGCGCAGCACAGACTCATGGCTCGACTGTCACGAATGAGCACCGCAAGGAGATAAGGTCTGCTGAGCAGGGAGTATTTCACTACACGGTACTGTTGGTTGGTACATGTACATGCTCCTGGAAGACAATCGAAGTCATGCAAGTGTCTGCGTCGGAGTCAGCCACGAGCTTAGCATGATATTCTCGAATGCTAAGAATGAGGCGTGGTCCTAGCACAAACATCTGCACGCTAAATAAAATCTGAAGAGTACCGACAAGTATCTGAGCTCCAACAGAATTTAAATTCTAAAGACATGATGAGCAGTGGTAACAAGCAGATATCAGAAAGGTCGGCGCACCGAGAAGCCTGGAGAATAACTAGCAAACTCGAGGCCGGAGACACAAACAAAGCTAGTACATGCGGAGCTTGAGAAAAGATAACCATATTCGCATTACAAGCTCACCTTGCGAAATAAAGCACGTGAGATTTTATCAGCACTTTAAAACAGTCCGCAATGGTCGATTCTGTCGATCGGCGGAGTCGTCGCAGGTCACGGAACTGTTTCACGGCAACCCAGACCGCAAGACATAGTGCGAGGACCTCCCAAACAGCGTAGAGCATCCAAACCATTTCAAACAGCAGCTGGGCATCTGCTTCGTATACTCCCTCATATATAGAACTGCAGATAAATGTACCCGAGATTATCCACTCCTCTGGTGATTGACAATAAGCTGTTTTCTTCAAGTCAACGAGTAAAGCTTACCCCATACGATATCCTTGACTGCTATGGCCCCGATCACTCCGCAGACAATGATAATAGCCAGAAAGACAATAACAAGGAAGATGAGTATCATTCTAGATCCCTGATACATGGCATGCAAGCGAGCAATCAAGATGACTTGCATCATGTTTGAGTCAAATCAATATCGCAGATGTATTGCAGCTGGGCAACCCACCGCCCAACATGGCAGGTACGATTACACTTATCCAAATCAGTGCATCGTACATAATATTGCCTGAAATACCCAATCAGTGATCACCCTCGGATTAGTATGAAACACTCCAACTTACACCTATCGAGTGATCATTTCGAGTCAAGTTCGATATCCAGAATCTCACTCACCCCTACAAATAAGATATTGATTGGATGAGAATGAAATGGTTGTATAATGCTCACTGCATCTGTCAGCGAGACAAATGGCGCAAATACTGTGCCATTGGTCAGAAGAATCAAACAGTGCATATAAGACATACCCAAAACATAGATACTAATTGTCAGAGATGAACTATTAGCAAGATGCCAAGTTGCTGTCCTCAACACATACACAGAAAATGGTATTCCCATATAACGTGTCTAGAATATTTTGGAATTAGTATAACTTGTCGACCACGCTATAGCGCAACACGAGGTACGAACAACCAAATACAGCACAGTCATCAGAGACCAGCGTTGTCTCTGTCGCAAATTCGTTTTATTCTCCTGTTTTGCTTGTCATGAGGGACTCTGTCACTCACCCAGATCAATTCAATCTGACACTTTTTTTTTAGCGAGTTTGCACTTCGGCGATAACAACGACCTACCTCTTGTCCAAGCGTTAGTACTGGAAATGAATGTTGTGAGATTCTCAGCAGTTTTCGAACACTGTTCCGCTCACACCAATCGTATACCACCACAACGCCACCGGCAACTGCGAAACCGCAAGTCAATGTTAGATCTAGACATGTTGATGAGACTGACCCGTCCAATAGCTGAAAAAAATGTCTGATTTGATTATCGGCCAATAACTGGGATCATTTAAAACTATGGTCATATTTGAGGGGTGAGTGTGAGCGAATAGAGAATGTTTGTAGTGTGTAATGATAATGTTCGTGCTAGATATACCACCGTCCAGTGCTCGGCGCTCAGCGCTCATACTTAAATCGGAGTTCATGGGTTGCATGGTTGCATGATGGCGGTGCATCAGCGCTCAGCACTGAGTACGGCGGTGCGAAATCAAGTAAAAAAGGAAGCTCCATGATCAAAGTAAACTTTTATTGCAAACCAATATTATGCAAACGACTTGAACGCCAGGAAAGTTGCAGTTGTTCGTGATGTCGGCAACTTATTTCCAGCGTGATTTTCAAGGTGTTTTGATGCGAGCTTGCAAAAATCGAGTGATTCCTGCAGTGCCATCGACTCGGATCTAACACAAATGTAAGTGTAGCGTGATCGAAACAGACATGTGCATTCTCTTAAGCTGCTGTGGAGCGAGAGGCGCAACAAGCCCTCCTGTCAGGGCATAGCGCTAGACGATATTAATATCACACTTGCCTGTCTACTATTTGCCCCCACCCGCTTGCGAGCACCATGTCCCTGTCTGCAGCTCCAGTCTACGGCAGCCATGTCCTCCCTCCAGGTGACTAGAACAGTGAAAGCTAACAAAGGCGTGATGTGTGATGGTAGATGGCAGGGTGGTTGCGATGATGACGACAGAGCTTCGGCGCGGAGTCTGCACAGACTTCAAACTGCTCATTCAAGTTATGTCCCGAGACGTCCGAGAGTGGCGGTGCTACTAAGTTCAACTTGCTGACCGAGTACGTACTAGCCTACTCAGTCTTACTGAGGACACAGACAATTCCGACAAGGCAATATCGTCACACTCTGCCTGAAAGCTCTAACCTTCGTGCCTCTAAATTTTTGTCTCCTCGTTGCCATGCCTAAGGTTTCCGACAAAAATACTGAAGCGAACTCAGTGAAGCAAATCCCAAAACTCTTTGCTTTAAAACATGGTCAAAAACGTGTAATGGTTAACCGATACAAGTCGTATAAAGTGGGTGGAAAAACTTTAAAAAGGCTCATCGATATCATAAGCTCATGCTTGACAGCGCATGTAGACATTTCCCAACCATTCCAAGAGACGCTATGACGTTCCAGACTGACCAACTTGATATCTGTGAAGGTCAACTTGTGGATGTCACGCCTGAAACATGGGACAAAGTAATTGACTCGATTACATCCCTCGAAGTGACTCGCACAGCATTATCATTGCCCAATCCACTTCCGTCTAGTGCCACTGAGGCTATTCCATCGCGCAGCAAAAATGTCAAGGTCAAACTCGATTTGGTTTTGACATCTGGTGATACTCTTTCTGTCAGGACGGAGTTGTCATCACGGGTACAGAAACTTGTTGATTATGTTGCTCGCAAGTCAGGGAATTGTTCTAGCAATCACAAGATAACATGGCATGGGTTAAGATTGGATGGCAACAGGAGTATTGGGTCGTACAACATTTTGGATGGGGACTCCCTCTATTTTCTGATGGATCAGGTCGGTGGAAAGCCAGTGATCTATGTATACTCGCCCTCCGATATGGATGTTTCTGTCAAATTGACCCTCAGTCCCGAGTGGAGCTTCTCCGCTATCTATCCTATAGTTACTCTGAAGCAAGACAATGGAGAGCATATCGAATGGAATGTCCGCACACACCAAGACGGGAGTTTGACTGAAAGGAACTCTGGTTTAGACGTATCGTACTTATTCTGGGAGGCAAAGTGCGTTTCCTCATCACATCGAAATCACTGATAACTAATTTTATATGAATCTTCGCAGGACAAATTCGGACGCATTTCCGCGTTCACCAGCATCCGAACTCCAATTAGTGGATGTATTCAGTCCCACGTCTAGCACTCTCGGCGACATGGATTCCATTGTCATCTCGGTGGACAAAGTAACCGTTTACCTAGATAACTCGCTCAAGGCTCTGGGACTTCATACTGAAGCTAGAACATCCTTTATCACGTGCGTTCATATATGCGTCTCGGAATGTCATATTAAAACTGATTACTACTACGGTAGCTACTGGCTACCGTCTATTCTCAAGCATGAATACATCGCCCTCCGATTTGTCCCCCAACTGGCATATGAACGTGCCGCTTCTTTAAGCATTTCTCCACAACCTGACATCGTGACTCGCGTGTTTATGCTGTTCAGAGGAATCAGTAAGGAAAATTTAGCGGATTGGCCGAATGCGCAAATGCAAGCAGAGAAAGACGTTGCTCGGTGGGCGGATGTAGTTGGAGTTGATCTTGAAAGAGCCAATGATACAGCTCTATTCAGGGTGTTGGAATGGGGTGGGATGGAGGTTCGTGTTTGATATTATATCAAGTTGCTCAATATATCTAGGTGCTACGAGTCAAACTCGACTATTTCATTTCGATGCCCGGTATATTACTTTTCCTCTTGAGTCTTGGGCTGTGTTTGTGTATACGCTTACAATCCCTTCATGTATAAGTGCAAGCTGTCGCCAGTCAATGCTAAAATTAATTACAGGCCCTCCGAGTACTGAGCTGGAGGGCCCTACTTGGCCCAAACTCATTCTTCGAGCGCCTGTACCCGATAAGTTCTTCCAGGCACTGGCGGCTGTCCCATCAGTATGCAGCATGACTTGTGTCACGGTATACTGAACATCACCTGGATACTGCAGATTTCCTCGTCTGCTCAGGAGTCTCGAATTGATATCGAGTATTTCCCTAGAGGAAATCGTGAACATTACGGTTATCGCATCACCCAATATTTCAATTCGCTTTGGAGATCGAGATCGAGATGTTCATCGATCCTGCCAATTTTTATGATCCCACGTGCGCGTCGTTGACTCGTAATTAGTTCAGGAAGGAGTTGCGCCTTCGTCAGTTAGATTACAGGTGTTGTGCTAACCTGGTCTTAGAGCCCCAAAATCAGCAGATGACAATTGGGAGGGTAGAAGGGTTAGTTGATGAAAAGGAGGATTATACAAAGATGAGGGCGGTCCAACTGACCCTGAAGACATGAAAGCTGATGATGAACAAGAGTCAAGTCACTATGAAGACGAAATGAAGAAGCTGATACAAGTCATTACTGGTATGAAGATTAAAAGGATGACGATAAAAGGACTGACGAAGAAAAAGGAGATGGCCCAAAGACTGATTAGGATCAGGGCGATGCACGTCGCTACGAAGACGAAGAGGACGACGACAGCAAGACTGACGAACACGAGGCCATTACCAATGATCACAATGATAATACTCAGTGAACTGCCCACCTGCGGCAAGCCAAAATTATTTGGAACGTCCAGCAGCTAACCCAGTCCTTGATACCCAATACTGAAAACGATAATCAGCATGAATTTTTCGGACAATTGACTCTACGTGTTTGTGGAATTTCGCTGTCCGGGCACACAGATGATGAAGGAGCGATGAACGATGATGCGTGAAGCTCAGATGGTCGATAACTCATTAGTACCATGCTGAGACTCATGTTGATCCATCAGGACCATGGAGAAGGAAAATGAAGGAATCGCGCGGCGCGGACTCAGGCTCAACTGTAACATGTAACGGATGAGGATCGCAAGGAGATAAGGTCTGCTGAGCAAGGCGTATTTCACTACACGGTACTGTTAGTTGGTAGATGTACATGCTCCTGGAAGACAATCGAAGTTGTGCTAGTGTCTATGTCGGGGTCAGCCACGAGATTAGCATGATATTCTCGAATGCTAAGGATGAGGCGTGGTCCTAGGACAAATATCTGGACGCTAAATAAAATTTGAAGAATACCGATGAGTATCTGAGCTCCAACAGAATTTAAATTCTAAAGACATGATTATCAATGGTAACAGGTAGGTATCATGAAAAGGTCGGCGCACCGAGAAGCCTAGAGAGTAACTAGCAAACTTGAGGCCGGAGACACAAGCAAAGCTAGAACATGCGGAGCTTGAGAAAATATAACTACATTCGCATTACAAGCTCACCTTGCGAAATAAAGCGCGTGAGATTTTATCAGCACTCTAAAACAGTCCCCAACAGTCGATTCTGTCGATCGGCGGAGTTGTCGCAGGTCATGGAACTGTTTCACGGCAACCCAGCCCGCAAGACATAGTGCGAGGACCTCCCAAACAGTGTAGAGCATCCAAATCATTGCAGACAGTAGCTGGACATCCTCATCATATGTAGAACTGCAGATAAATGTGCCCGAGATTATCCACTCCTCTGGTGATTGTCCAATGAGCTGCGTTCTTCAAGTCAACGAGTAAAGCTCACCCCATACGATATCCTTGACTGCTATGACCTCGATTACTCCGCAGGCAATGATAATAGCCAGAAAGGTAATAACAAGGAAGATGAATATCATTCTAGATCCCTGGTACATGGCATGCAAGCGAACAATCAAGACGACTTGTATCATGTTTGAGTTAAATCAATGTCACAGATGTATTGCAGCTGGGCAACCCACCGCCCAACATGGAAGGTACGATCACACTTGTCCAATTCAGTGCATCGTGCATAATATTGCCTGAAACACCCAATCGGTGATCACCCTCGTATTAGTATCAAACAAACTTACACCTATCGAGTGATTATTTTGAGGCAAGTTCAATGTTCGGAATCTCACCCACCCCTACAAATAAGATATTGATTGGATGGGAATGAAATGGTTGGATGCCAACTCATAATACTCACAGTATCTGTCAGCGAGACAAATGGCGCAAATACTGTGCCATCGGTCAGAAGAATCAAACACAGGGCATATGAGACATACCCAAAACATAGATACTAATTGTCAGAGATGAACTGTTAGCAAGATGCTAAGTTGTTATCCTGGACACATACACAGAAAATGGTATTCCAATATAACGTATCTAGAACATTGTGGAGTCAGCATAGCTTGCCGATCACATTATAGCGCAACACGAGGTACGAACAACCAAATACAGCACAGTCACCAGAGACCAACGTTGTCTCTGTCGCAAATTCATCATCATCATCATCATATTGTCCTGTTTTGCTTCTCATAAGGGACTCTGTCACTCACCCAGATCAGTTCGATCTATGACACATTTTTTAGCGAGTTTGCACTCCAACGATAACATCGACCTACCTCTTGTCCGAGCGTTAGTACTGGAAATGTTGTGAGATTCTTAGCAGTTTGCGAACGCTGTTCCGCTCACCCCAATCGTATACCACCACAACACCAGTGGCAACTGCGAAATCGCAAGTCAATGTTAGATCTAGACATGTCGATGAGACTGACCTGTCCAATAGCTGGAAAAAATATCTGATTCGATCATCGGCCAATAACTGGGATCATTTAATACTATGGTCATATTTGAGAAGTGAGTGTGAGCGAATAGGGAATGTTTGTGGTGTGTAATCATAATGTTCGTGCTAGATATACTACCGCCCAGTGCTCAGCGCTCATACTCAAGGCGGAGTTGATGGTTGCATGGTTGCATGATGGCGTGCATCTGCACCGAGTACGGCGATGCGAAATCAGGTAAAAAAAAAAAGAAGCACCATAATCATAGTGATGCGGAGGTTCGGTTCGAACCGGACCTTTCGTGAACTGGACCACGGTCCAGTTCAACGTTCAGAGTATAGGCTGAACTGGACCGATGGTCCAGTCCAGCGTCCAGCATTCCTTGAACGCGTTGAACGGGTCCGAACCTTTTGAACTGCTTCCATTTTAGGCTACTCACACATACGAGATGACATCACCCACACACGCAATACACTAGGGACGTTCAAAGTTGGGCGCCCACGCCCACCTCCCACGCCCACGACCCCCCTCGCCCATATCCCACTACCCATTTTGTACTTGAACGAATGTATTATATAATCAATGATAACTTAACACTGTCCGAAACCACATTACACTCAATGGCACGTCTCCGAACATCACGCGAGCAATACCTTCACTCATATCTCTTGCTTATGGTTCTTCGTACTTTGTGTCAGCCAGATATGACACTCGAAGAGGCAGCAGTACAGCAGCATTGCGACTTATCTTGCATTCTTGCTATTCAACAAACTCGTTATCTACAAGAGCGCTCCCCTGTTGCAAAAGCCAGCACCCTGCACATTGCTTGGGAATACGCAAAATCTCCATCTGATCATAATCGCTTTATTCACATGCTCCGTGTTTCTCCAATGATGTTTCAAGTCCTGCTCAATCTAATTGAAGGTCATCCGGTTTTTTCCAATAATTCCAACAATGCACAGGCGCCTGTTCAGACTCAGCTTGCTGTCACTCTCTATCGAATGGGTAGATATGGCAATGGTGCCTCGGTACTGGACATTGCTCGCCTTGCAGGAATTTCTGAGGGTGCAGTAGAGTTGTTCACGCAACGATGCTTCCGTGCAATTCAATCTCTGCATGACACTTTTGTATGCTTACCAACTGCTGAAGAAAAGGAGGTTGAGAAATCATGGATAGATGACCGGCTCAAATTCCAAGGAACTTGGAGGGAAGGTTGGGTGATGTATGACGGAACAATTGTTGTTCTGCATACTAAGCCAGGCCTCAATGGAGATGCGTATTACACACGAAAGTCAAACTATGGACTGAATCTACAGGTACTATATCACACAGTTTTTTTAAATAATATTGAAGTGCTTTGACAGGTTGGAAATTTGCCGTCCAATCTTCGTATTGTGGACTATGCGCATGGCCTGACTGGTTCTGCCCATGATGCCTCTGCCTTTGAGCATACTGCAGCTTCAAAACATGCAGATTGGTTTTTTAAAGGCAATGAGTTTGCCTGGGTAGACTCTGCATATCCAGTCAGTAGTCATACCATTCCAGTCCACAAGCGTCCTGCTTCTCTCATCCCCGAGAATGCTCTATTTGATAGTGCAGTAGCCCATCTCCGAGTACGTTCTGAGCATTGCATGGGAGCTCTGAAAGGGCGCTGGCAATGCTTGCGGGGGCTTCGGGTGACCATTACATCAAAGTGCCATCATCAGGCAGCATGCGACTGGATTACGGTGGCCATTATCCTGCATAACCTTGTGATAGATGTTGAAGGAGGAGTACAAGGGGCACACTTTGCTGGGATCCACACTCACACTGATGAACAAGAAGATAGAGGATTGCCTGATATCCTTCCAGGTCAAGTGATTGGGAATAATGGAGAACTGAAGCGACAACAGCTTGTAGAAGAGTTGATGGCATTTCGACAAATGTAACAGAAGTATTTGTTGAACTACTATTAACAAGTATATATAATAGAAAGGTGTTAAGGAGTGACTAGAAGTTAACCATAAGGCAAAAAAAATTATCAAGAGGCGAAGGCAGAAATTATACCGAGACTCGTCAAAGAAATACCCTAATCCCAATCTGGCCAATCTGGAGAGTAACGAGCACACTTCACAGGCTCAGCCTTGTCATGCATCAATTCACGGAGCTTTTCACGATACTCGTCAACATTCCAAATACCAGCCTCGAACTCTTTGAGCAGCAATTGGCGTTCTTGAAGCTGCCTCTCTGCTGTAGCATGAGCATTAATAGCATCTAAACTGGCCCTTATATATATGAGTAAGGTTAATTGAAATATAAATAAATAAAATGTACTTCTGCATGTCAATGAGTGTCTCGTCAAGGGTACACTTCTTCGGCACCTTGGAGATCCGTTGTCTCGCTTTGGTGAGACTGTCTTGTAACATTGACGAAGATTTCGGGGCTCGCTTAGTTGTTGGGGTAGGGGTTGACTGCGAAGATGGGGGAGGATCATTCTCCTTGTCGTCGACATCATAAAGAGGTTGAGAATAGTCAGAAGGATCTACAATAGTATCGAAAGGAGACTCAAAAGATGGGGAGATTCCACGGTGTGCAGCCTCGTTCTGAAGGGCTGTGTGGAGGCTCTGGATCTGCGAAAAATTCTCCGATGCAAGTTCTGGCCCTTCGTCATCACTTGGAGGCTGGTAGTGCACAGTCTTCCTGCCATGCGGGCCGATACCAGTGGTGATGGCTATCAGGAGTGACATTCGGACGAGAGGATAAGATTCGATGAAGAACAGGAAAGAATTTGAATTGCTCAACAATCTCATCTGTGTCATGTTAGAATTATTCTGGCGGAAAATAAGTAACATACCCCAAATACACTGTGCTTTCGGAGTTGTGGTTGTGTTGGGTCCATCAGCAGGGACATAGCATTCGAAAAATTCATTGTCGGAGACATTGCCATTCGCATCAGATTGGACCCCTTCACCAGTTGTTCGGAGACGTCAAGCATGCACCTTGTATTTTTTTGTTAAGCTGAGCAGAATTGTAAGCTGAAAAATAGTGAGAAAAGCACAGCACTCACTACTCATACTTTCGTTTGACTCGGTCCCCCATTGTGACAGCATTCTGGCTGTGCAATTGCGGGAAAACGGCAGCCGCCATGCACTGATACACCGTCACTTTGCTATCACCTGACGTGTTCTGACACAGAAACATCATATCTCGTATCATATATGACAACTTTGACTCACTTACCTCGCCCTTCTTCCGTTTGCCTAGAAGCACGACTCTGTTCTCCGATAGTTCAATCTGCACCAATAGCTGCCAGACCAAGTCATCAGTCCAGACAATCTCCGGGATTGTGACGCCGTTATCCTTCTTCTTCGCCATATGCGCAGATCTGATTGATGGTGAGTGAAGGTAACAAACCAATAAATTTTCAGAATTACTTTGTATTATCTAATTATGCAAACTACATTTTAGGTGACGACGCGTGGGCGAAGGGGTCATGGGTGTGGGCAGTGGGCGTGGGCGCCCAACTTTGAACGTCCCTACTGAACATGACATGATTACTCGCGACTTTTTGCTTGGAATCTGATTCGTCGCTCGTCGATCATCCGAACACTGCATTGCGAATCCTCGTCAAGAACTCGCCACATATTTGACGGCTCCATTGGAAGATGTGGGAGATGTTGTCCGTTGGTGGGGGGTAAGTTATATCTATTGCATCGACTAGTAGTTATTTACTGATGCACCTACCAGCATCATTCTGTGGCATACCCAACACTCTCCCGCATGGCAAGAGATTTTCTTGCGATTCAAGGTTCTGCCACTCCATCAGAACGGGCCCTTTCAAGCGGCAGTATCAGAGTCGACACAACCGGCTCACGCCCGATATCTTTGAGGCGCTCCAACTGTTGAAGAGTGCTTATCATAACAGGCATATCCAGGCTGCAGCTGAGGCCGCCGCTCGTATTGAGCCCCTCGCTCATGTAACTGAAAACGACCTTTCTGTTGTCCTTACTGATCTTTAGTCTTGCCTTGCATTAATTTCACTTGGCCTTGCTTCACAGTAGTGTACCAGTACTCCTTACTACTAGCTATAGTACAATCGAGTATATTTACAATGCGTTCGATGTTCGAACGCTGAACCGGACGTGAACCGGACGCCATGAACGCGTTCATGGCGTCCGGTTCAGCGTTCAGCAAAACGATTGAACCGGACGTGAGGTCCGGTTCAGCGTTCGCAAAATTTGTTGCTGAACCGGACCAAACCGGACTTCCGCAACACTACATAATCAAAGTACCCTTTTATTTGCAAACCGCAAACAACTTGAACACCAGGAAAGTTGCACAGTCGTTGGTGATGTCAGCAACTTGTTTCCAACGTGATTTTACAAGGTGTTTTGATGTCACAGACCGATGCTATAGGAAATTTGAATTCTATTGAGGCCCTTCGACTTCGTATCGGTCTCAGAAAGGGCATCATTTCCCTTCCTACGGATCTAAACACACCAGTACTTGTCCAGACGTCCAGGAATAGGCCGCATTGCACCTATGCATGCCGTCATCGAACAACGCAGTATTACACACGAGGGACATGCCGCACCAGTATGTTTAACTATCTTTGTATGTCAGCTGTTTCTTGATGACCCCAGATACTACCATTATACTTTGGTTGCCGTTCTGGACGCATGTGCAAGATCTGATGAAGGAGGATGCTCAGTATATTTGAACAAAGTTGTTGCGGCAGCAACGAGGCATCCTTATCATCTCAGGGTGGGTCTAGATTAATGCCAATGTAACACGTGCCAATGAATCCTAAGTACTTCGAATGAACTGCCTACTGCGGTCGTACGTGAAGCCGTGCGAAGTGCAGTGGAGAAGTTCGGAGGAAGGTCGAATGCCGAGCCTCAGGCTGTGGAGTAGGTTGCTGCGCAATGGAAGGTTGATTGAGGAATGTTGGAGCTGAAAATGTTCGAAACTAATGAGCACCTATGCCCTTTGATAAATCCGATTCCGCAGTTAGCACGCTTTCCGTTGGTCGCATCAAACCTTCAAGCTTCAGACTCAAACCTGAGGCCTAAGCGCTGAAATTTCACGCAAAAGTTCTGGTGACTTTAAGTTACAGCTGCAGCAGGTGATATTGTAATTGGGACTAGTTCTAGCAACCATTGAGCGCGAGCGCCTTAGAACTCCCGACCGGTATACTGCGCGGCCTCGAGACTCGAGAGCATCGTTAATGTTTCCTCCGCATCCGCAAGCGTACGTATCGGAGACGATATGCTGTGGGACGCATGAAATTGCAAGATATGCAGTCTCCATGCTTTGACTTGAAATTCGCGTTGCAATAAGGAACAAGGATTCTCGAGCGTAGTGCTCTTGGACAAATGACGTACCCCATCATATTACCCCAGCCTGACATCCCCGTATCCTTCACCAAATTGAGTGCACTTAGTAACCCCCCCTCGGCTCAGTCGTCTTCTGTCTTTGCGAAACACCGGCATTATAGGTTCAACATGTATATATCAGCTGCCCCATCGCCGATAACTTTTTGCTGTTGAAAAGTGCTGGTTCTGATATTAGTAGTGCAGGTAAGAAGAAATGAACAAAATACAAGGTTTGCATGAGAAGAGGAAAAAAGTCAACAGAAACTTTCTGACAGATACGGAAGCCAGTTTCGCCTGCTGCTAGGCTACCGTTCGTCGACACAATCTTAGAATGGTTTGGGCTGGACTGAGCGTAACTTGACGGCTGGAAAAAAGACAATCGACTTCTGCTACAACGTTAGATAATTCTACGTGTGCATGTATTGATCGCCAAACAGAGACTGCTTGGTTGCAGCCTAATTGAGAGGCAGAGGTAGAGTCGGGTGCCGCAAGGGTTCAACGTGCAAACTTAGATCAGGTTTTGAGTTGGGTGGGCACTTCACACGACCCCAACTCCATCACCGCGTTGCGTGTTTTCATGGACTAGGGTGCAAAAGTATTTATATACAAGCAAGATCCAATTGCAGAAGAACTTGAACGTACGTGAAATTTTTGGGGCAACAATGAGGTCCTACGACATCTTAGAGTATTAGACGGCCTAGAATTACGTGTAGCGTTTGATTGATCCTAAGTTCCAAAGATATAGTAGTTCTTCGTATCGTGGTCCATGAAGCTAAGGCTGTAGAGTTCTTATGTTGCTGCGATGGACTCCCGAGTAGTAATTGGACAATGGAAGCGAGCACTCATGCAGAATTTGTCAGCAGACTCCAGGAAGACGATTGAAAATGGAAGCAATCATCATGCATTACCCCATGGTGTACAGCTTCAAGGCCTCAAGGTTCAATGCTCATATCGGTGGCACTCCTCAGATCTGATGTGAAACTTCTGTGGTACATTGAGGGTCCTCGTTTTATGCGGATCTAACCCTAGCCTATGAGGGTCACCAGGATGAGCGCCTAGGGATTCTCCATTAGAGTGGCCAAATTTCACCGTCAGTCGCCAGTTCCTCTCTCTCATCCCATTAGTAACATGGCTCAGTATTCAACAGTAAATTGTCCTACCAAGTCAATTGACCGACCTAGTCTGGAATGTATCATCAATCACATATTTCTTCCCCTCAAGTTGCCGCAAGGGAGTGACCAATCCCTTGAGAACGACCTGGCCTTATCCCAGGCAGTATTCGAAGCTGCTATCACCTTCATTGACCTGCTGCCATCCGATAAGCTGCTGCTTTGGACGAGCACCTTGAGAATGCTTCGCAATCTCAAAGATTCAATCAGGTTCAGCATGATGTCTGCAAAAGAAGTCGAATCTCAAATCAAAGCTATGAACACTGAAGGTACGTTGTTTTCATTTCATTACCATTATTTTTCTGTATTGAGTATAAATTTTCAGATGTCCTTGTATATTTCATTCGCGCGCAAAACGCTGCGGTGGTCATGAGAAAACTCGAATCCGAGACCATATTCGAGTCATTTGAGGTCTCTCCTGACCCTACCGCAGTGATGGGCACAAAGGGAAAGCTGATATGCTCTTATCCTGGACCTGCTATCACAGTCCCAGATATGAACATCAATGACGCCACCTTTCCCGCCGAGCTGGCGAATTTTCTCGTTCACATGGATCAAGATGTCCTTGATGCAGCAGCGACGAGGACAAAGGCTAATTCCACTGTTCTCGAAGAGAGAAACCACGCATCCGCGATATATCACGGAACTCCTGACCGGTATACTGCGTGGCCTCGGGAGCATCGCTGATGTCCCTCGCATCCGCAAGCGCATTGGAGATGATGTGCTGTGGGACAGCGCCAAGTTGCCGTGGAGGCGGTCTCCACTTTGGCTTGTCATTCGCGTTGCCTTACAGACGACTCTGGAGCGCAGTACTCTCGGACGGACAACGTATAAATCATTCATGCTGTTTTTCATGGCGAGGCTCACAACCCTTGCCCTCGACCATAACATGTCGAATGACATCTTACACTTCATATCGGCAAAGATCGCACGCCGTCTTTTCAAGCTCGGATCCTCTGCTTCTCCAGAGTTATCGCAGATGGTCACCGTTGTTACCAAGGATGTAAGGAGTGTCCTGGAGGAAAGATGGGGGTCTGTCGAGAACGCACAACGGGCCTCGCCTCTTTGGGCTCCGGAGACCCTCCAAATCTTGCAAGATACCCATCTTTCCTTGAACACGAGTCGACAGTACATACGCCAAGCTTTGCAGAACCAGCATTCATCCCCTCAGACAACCTCATTCAATCCCAGCCACCACACGCGCGGGACAATCAATAATTTCCTTGACACCAAAGCTAGCTTCCTGATAGCTGCTCATGCCGCGGAACCGTCTCTTGCCCTTGCAGACTTCGAGACTTCTATTAGTTCGGGGATTGACGACTGGGTGGCACGCATTCCACTCCGGAGTATCGATTCCGCATGCATCTCGATTGAGGCATGCGCCTCTGCGTACTCCTCGAGAGCGCTTAAGGCTTATAAAGGGAACCCGGAGAATTTGTCTATCATGCTTCTCACCCTTTTTGAGCTCTGGGTAGCGATGGATAGG